TATAGTAAGATATCACGTGTTTTTATTTTTTAACCATTTTTTTTCTAATTAAAACCCTTTAAAAAATCAAATTTTATCACATAACTAAAAATACAAGTAATGTTTGGTGGAGGAGAGGGAGGGGGGTAATTTTTAATATGAGAGGGAGGTTAGGTTTTATGTGTAAAACGCCTAATTGCACTTTTGACAGTTTGTTTCTACTTTTTCATACAAAGATAGACCTATAACATAGCAATACTATAGCATTTCTATTTTATCTTAAAATTAGCTCCTCAAAATAGTATTATTTTTATTATTCTATATTATAATTAAAATTAATTTAGCTTCATCTATTTTGCGTTACAATCAATAGTGTTGTTCTAAAATAGACATATAGTTATCACTATATGGATCCATTTTATCTCCTATAACTTGCTCCAGGTCCATATTTTTAAATTCTTGAAATATAGTTTGACGAGAGTCCACGTTTCTGATCTGTAAAGAGCCTTACTGCAATTAATGTTCATTTTTTTCGGGATGATTTATAGCTAATTTTTGTCTGATCATGATGATTCATTTTATCTCCTTCAACTTGTTCTAAGTCCACATTCCTAAATTTTCAAAATATAGTTTGACTAGAGTCCATCCATCTGATCTGTAAAGAGCCTTACTTTAATTAATGTTAGCCCAAATATTATTATTTTTTCTGAGTTGTTCATAGTTAATTTTCTACTAATCATGAAGATCAGAATTTTATCTCTTTCAAATTTGTCCAGGTTCATATTTCGAATTTCTCGAGATTTAGTTTGAGTCTATGTCTCTAATCTGTGAAGATCATTAATGCAATTAATCTTAGTCCCTATATTACTTATCTAAAGTTGTTAATAGTTAGTTTTTTATTGATCAAGAGGATCCATTTTATATTCACAAATTTACGCCAGGTCCACATTACTAAATTCCCGAAATGTAGTTTGGTGAGAGTCCATATCTCTGATCTATAATGATCATTCATTGTTTCTTTAGCAAGTGGTGGAAGATACATTGACAAAATAACATTATTCAACCAGTTATTAAAAAAACGATGTTAGGAGTTAATTTAATTATTTTAAGGGGTATTCTGATCTTGAAAGTTTCAAAATTGGATTTTGTTTTTTCTTGCGTATTTCCAAAGTTTATTACCAACAGTATTTGCACAGAAGGACTTTTTAAAATTTAAATTATTTTTGGAGATAGCTGTTTGACCATAAAAATCACTGTCTGTTTCCTTCCACAGCAAATCTTTAAAGGCGGTTTTTTCGAAAAGGTCTTTTTGGATACGCACGATTTCTCAACCTTTACTAGACTGGTTTATTTCAAATTTTTGCAAGGTTTTCTTTATAGACTTCTCTGCAGTATGAACTAAGATCATTGCCAAATTCCTTAATATCTAAAAAAATAAGATATCAACAAAGATGGTATTTATTTTATATTTTAAAACATTGATTAATAACTTGTGAAAAATATACCTAGTAAAAGTAATGTTTGCTTTTTTCACAGCCTTTTTAAAAAAATGCGAAAAATTTGTCCCTCTAGACCAGAATACACCCTTAATTGTAAAATCTTTGTCAAAATGTAAGTGGAGATATTGCATATATATTTGGAGTGCTCAGGGTTCTACAAATTACTGTATATATGTTAAAAGAATGGTCATATTTTTGAATGATTTTGAAAATTTAATAATACCTTAAAAATATCACTAATAATTAGCATCAAGTTATTTAAAACTTCCTTACATGTAACCACAAAGAATTTACTTTTTTTTTTAAATTTTGATAGTATCTTAATAATTTTCAACAAATTTTGATTTTGCAGTTCAATTTTTTTCTCATTATCACTTTCACATACTAAAATAGATATATTTTTTTTTCAATATAACTACTCCAGATCTACATACAAGTCAATGGTTTATTTTATAGCATACAGTACCATACTGCAGTTTATACAAAATTAAAGATTTTTATATAGGGTGTCCCAGAACTCAACGTCAAGGCGAATCGGCGTGATGGCATTAAATCCTTTCCTTATCTATGGTATTGATATATCAGAACTACCATGAAAAAAATTAGAAAAATCATTTATCTCACGTATTAGTTGTATTTGAACTACTCAGTATCCTATAAATTGTTGTATATATAAAAAGAATGGTCATATTTTTGAATGAATTTGAAAATTTATCAATACCTTGAAAATATCACTAACGTCTAGTACAGCTATTCAAAACTGTCATACATGTAATTGCAGACAATTTTTATTTTTGATAATATTATAATAATCTTCAACCAATTTTGATTAAAAATTCCAATTATTACCGATATAACTTTTTTCACAATTATTACCATTAACTTTGCATTCAAAACAAATATAAATTCAGAAACATCCATTGCCGATGTTCTTAGTCCAAAGTGACATGTAATGGGCTTGTAATGGTCATAATTAGAACGTAACAATTTTGACACATTAGTAGTTTCGAATTGCGAATTAAATGTCCCATGGTACACGTTTTGTGTCCACGAAATGCACGACCATTACCATAAACCAGAAACGTAATTATATATTGTTCGCATTGTTAAATATAACTGTTTTAATTGGATGGCTGTCCAGGACTTTAGTTGCAATTAAGGACCTAAACAGGCGAAACGGTTTAATGGACGCGTTTCGAATATTAAACTAGTAAAATGGTAATGACAATAAGTGTTGATGCACATGTGGCAATCAATATTGTCTCGCCAGATCTATATATTCTGCTCTTGTATACTGCCAAATATAATAAAAATATAGAGGTCCACGAGTATTTCTGCTTTTATAACTTTACTAATTTGACCATTCATATTGCCATCTTCGAAATGTTGCTCATCTTAATTTAGCAAAATATTGCTGTCTTATCAATCAATGTTATAAATAATATTGTTTATAGAAATTCCTAGTATTTCTACTATCTTTCTAAAATAAGTTTGATACTGATAGCACCGAATTCCAGGGATGTCCTTATTTTACTTCCTGGACAATTTTACTTCTATGAATTGGTTCATCGTTAGTTGGAAAGTCCTGCCCTGTATTTTATTTTAAGTCGTACTAGTAAAATTTCACCAACTATTGGGGCAAACACAAATGTGATTTTGCAGGGCTAAGTCATTTTTGAAAAAAATCTCAGTTTTGCATACTAAAACAGATATATTTAACAGATTAATTTTTAATACGCCCCAGATCTACATTTGTAAGTCAATTACTTTAATATTTTTTAGTATTTGCTATTTTACTTAATTTTATAAAAAATTAAAGGTATGGTGAGGGCAGGGTGTCCCAGAATTCAACGTCGAATCAAAACTGGGTGATGATATAGATTGATCATGAAATAAATTAGAAAAATCTTACATAGTTTGAAAAATCAGTGCAACCTATGATTTTGGTAAAAACGTTAAAAATTTTTACTCATTGTGGCTAATTTTCATTAATTTTGTTCATTTAAAAACAAAGTTTTCAATATATATATATACATCAAACATTTTGTTGAACTTAAAATTGATTTTGTTAAAATTTTCAAAATTGATCGACTGAGAAGCCCTCCTTAGGGGGCGTCCATTAATCACGTGAGGTTTTTAGGGGGAGGGGGGTTAGATAAAAATCACCAAATATCACATGAGGGAGGGAGGGGTATAGTAAAATATTACGTGTATCAATTTTTTAACTGATTTTTTTGAAAAAATCAAATATTTTCAAAAAAAATTAAAAAATTTTACAGTTTTTTCGTGTAACTAAAAAGTCACGTGATGTTTGTTGGGTGAGGGGGGGGTAATTCTGAATATCACCATGTATCACCAAGGGGAGGGGGGTCGAAAAATCCTCAGAAATTTGCTCACGTAATTAATGGACGCTCCTTTAAAAAATGCACTAAGTATTTTTTAAAGTTTTATTAAAAGTTGGTGTCTTTAATCAAGATTGTAAAATGGTAATAGTTTCATGATAAAAGGAATTCTAGTAAAAAATTAAAACCTTAGTATATCACGATTTTTGCATGGACATTTTGCTCACATTCTAATCAATAAATTAATTATTCTCTACTTCATTTGATAAATTATTCTAACTTTTTTCAAGATATTTATTATCAATACTATCAACCCGTTTCGGCTTGACGTTAAGTTCTGGGACACACTGTAAACATATCCAACTGAAAATTACTGAAAAATTAATTTATCTGCTGCGTTATATTTTTAATATTGTACTAGTAAAATATTTATTATAATAAGTTACACTTCCAACTTGTGTTTGCAGAGTCGAATTATTTTCTTATTTTCTTAAAAACTTTATTCTGTTCTCATAATTTTCTTAGAAACTTTATTCTATTTTCATAATGCTACAAATATAAATACATATCAATCATTTCTTTTTTAGAGTTGAATATCTTACTTCTTTAAATTTACCATTTTTTTCTCAAAAAAAAATCATTCTGTGGTTTTAATTTAATTCCTCAGAGCAAAAACAAATTTATGTCATTAGATATTAATTTTTCTGGTAATACATTCCTAACTTTTTAGAATATATTAATCCTATCTAATATCATATAAAGTCAAAGGTGTATTTCTACTTGTCCAATTTTATTGGTTAATTGTTTTTATGTTTGTCATAAATCCCTTTAAAATTGCACTCATCTAAAATAAGCACTTTAACTTTATTATTAGGATGGTCTATATCTATACTTTTTTTTCGAATTCTTTTATATTAGATAATTTCAATTAGTACTATTTTCTAAATCTGAATGATTAATCAAATTCATATCTATTTTTTACAGAAAATGATGTAGTTATCACGCAACGTTTATAAATCTGGTCAAAAATGCATAAGTTTGATCAACTAAGTGGACTTTCATAAAACGGACAAAAAGTGCAAAAGTGTATATCTAAACTATGCTAACTATCTAATCAGTGCTTAAACCAAGTGACAAAATTTAAATGTTTAAATAATAATAAAAAATATCTTACTATATCATGTCATATTCAGAAGACTCAGTGTTATCCATCTTATCCCACCATCTGAACGATTCTTTTAGTCTGGAAGACATCATGGGCAAGTTGAACAGTTCTGAGGAATTGAAGTGTTTGTTGATGCAGGAGGAAGAAAAACAGATGGTCAACTCCAAAGTTGGCGAAGACAATGTTGTTCAATGTAATACTTATTGGGATAGTGTTTTGTGTTGGACGTCTACACCAGCTGGAACTACCGCTGTAAAGAACTGTATGAAGGAGCTGAATGGAGTGGAATATGATACTACACGTAAGTGACTCTAATTTATATTTATTTAAGTCATAATTTGACTTGTTTACAATTGCATACATATGCATCAATATATAACCACTTGTAATATTAATAGGAGTATTGAGTTCCAAATATCTATGGTCAAAGGATGATGACAAATCTAGGCAGCCTTACCCTTAACCAGTTTTTACCTCAGATCTGCTTTTGCCTTATGATTTTATTATTTTGCAAATTAGCAGGTTGACCCAACTAATTTCATTCTAATTTGGCAGAAGAATTAACCAGAATCCTATTCATTTTTCTCACACGTTTGCCACCATGTTTGTTCACGAAATGCAAAAATCTCCCAACTGAAATTGAAATAAAAAAGTATTTACTCATAATCGCGATAAAAAAATAATAATAGAATGTTATCACTCCGTTTTATTTGAGTTGTAAAATTGACCATGACCTTTAAAATAATGACATTCTGGATTCATATGCAAATTTCGTCAGTTTGCCGAGCGATAAGTTTTTATGCTCTCAGATAAATGTTTATTGTAACTCCGAAAGTAAAGTTTAATGGTAATTAAATTATATAAAGATACGAAATAATTCAGAAAATGTAGGAAATTTATTTAGAAAATGCAAATTGTGAAATTGAAGGAAATATCAGGGGAACGATAAATTACTAGGTACAAGTGGCATTTTGCTTTGAGGCAAGTTGCATCAACTTCACGGTACGTGTAAATAATCGACTTTATCAATACAATTTGAAATTAAGTTATTTAGATCAAATTATCTGGAAAAAAATCATGTTTTAAATCACTAAGAACTAAATAATGTAATTGAGATGAGAATGAGATCAAAATCTACGAAAAGATAACTATCAAAATTTTAATACTTAGAACTTAAACTTAGAACTTAGAAGAAAAACTTATCATATTTTTTACGATGCGCCACACTCTAATAATCACAAATCTTCTGTAGACTTCTGCTTACTTATATTTATATTTAAATTCCGGATACAGTATTAAATTTAGTAACTACAGAATATAAATGATCTTAATTGAATTAATTACAGTAAAATACGACTCTAAAACAATATTAAACCTAACATTAGTATTATCTAATACAATAACTTGAAAAAAAAGTTATAATATTGTGAGTTTATTTAAGGCTTGTAGATCTTGAGATTCCTCTGATGGTGAAAAAATCCTTAAAATATGTTAGGGTTTTGTTCCAAAATTTATGCCCATGTATTATTTTATAGACTTATGTGGTAACATTTTTCATAGCCCAATGATAAATGTACTTTTTTTAAAGCTGCCAATAATCTTTGACCCTAAACTATCAATTTTTGGAATAAATTGGCTCTATTAAAGAATGGACTGTGGTAGAGAAATATAAATCAGAACATACTATTTGACTTTACACAATAACCTAATTGATCATAACAGTCATTTTGAGAAATCTTGTTCATTTGACATACTTTTTTCGGTTTTAGTAAAGACTCCAAAATCCAAACTGTTATCATCCTAGTTATTATTGAATTTGAAAAAAAACTAAGGACATGTGCAACTTTTTTAAAAATAGATCCGTTGACTAATGTATAAGTTACACATTTAAATGAATTTTAAAATATTAAATAATTTAGTTTATTACAACAGGACAGATATTTTCATTTTCACAAGGTCGATCAAATAAGTTTGTACTATTAATGAACTTCCAAAAAAAGTCAAAATATAAGTCTGAGTAGTTGGAATATTTATAACAGAACTTGGGTTTCATATTGAACAAGGATTTTAGAATTATTATTCATTCATCAGTTTATTTTTATCCAACTATATAATATATAAAAATAGAACTTCTATAGAAGGTGCAGCAGGTCATTTTCTAATACTCAAGGGAAAATGTTCATACTCCAATTAGCAAGTTACATCAGGCCACTTCGGCGAATGAAATATAAATTAGCTTCCATTTAGATTATCGAACTCAAAGAAAACTTTGCATTTATAGGAGATTTATCTATAAATATTTTATTCTGATATGAAATAATATAATACAAAGCAAAGGGCTTATATTTAATTGACAATATTAATGTAAGGCACGAGAAGAACTATCGCGCATCGTACAAAATATGCTAAGTTTTCCTTCTCCTAATAGTTGTAACGTTAAATTCACATTAAATAAACTATCACAATATTAAAACTTTTTTTTCAAGTTATTGTATTATATAATGCTAATGTTATGCTTGATATTATTTTACAGTTGTATTTTACTGTAATTAATTCAATTGAGATAATTTATTTTCTGTAATTACTAAATTTAATCCTGTATCCGTAATACAAATATAAATATAAATATCGTAACATTGTTCATTTATATAAAAATATAGATGTACTAGTGAAAATATTTTTCACATGACATTGACTTATTTCGACAATTAGGGCTTGTAGGGGCTGCAAAGAATAATTTAATTGTAGGGTATACTGCCAAAAATAACGGCAATATCCTTTATATCAATTTTTATACGTTTTGGGAAAAAAAAATAAAATTTCTAACCATTTTATGGTAATTTTTTTTTGCTTGCGATCATAGAGTTTACTCGTTATGACATTATCTGGTACAGAATTATGAATTTGAATCCATAAGTTTCGGCAATATTCGACTTTAAAGTTTGGAAATCACACAGTTTATTTTATAATTATTATTATTATTATTATTATTATTGATTTTATAATTATTATTGTTGCTGGTTTACCCGAAGGCATATTTTTCGATATTGAATTCATTCCGATTCAGTGCACAGAATTAAAAAAGTTCTTATTATTGGAGTTGATAGGAATTCAAAATATTTAAATTTAATTAAAATTTACTTAAAATTTAATAAAATTATATTAAATTGCATGAAAAGCCATAAAATCATATCAAATAAAATCAAAATGTATCATAATATTTTAAAATTTAATCGAAATAGGTCAATATTGATAACCATCATCAAAATAACTATAACTAATTTATTAATAATATAGATATTAATTATTAAATTCTTAATGGAATAAAAATATATAAAAATTAAAATTAGTCGATAATAATAACGTTAACCAAAATTTTATGATAGTACAATTTATATTACATCTCAAATATGACGGACCTTCACACTTTTGTATACTGCGTCGCCCTGGGGGACAATAGCTATGACTATAATATGCAGGACTTTTTACATGTCCAAGAGAGACAAATTTTTTTTTAATATCGTTCAAGATCCTTTAAAAAGCGCCACTTACCCCTGTTTACAATGTTTACAATAGAACCCCTGTATGTTTTATAGATTTTACTAGATTTTTTTTATTGACTTGTTAATATTTTTATGTATTAAGATGAAATATAGATTTATATACTTCCGCAAAAGTCGTAAATGAGAAAACTAGTTTATGGCATTAAGAAAGTTTCCGGAAATTGGAAAATGTGAGCTTCCATGATATGAAAATACTGTGGGAGTAAAACGTATTAAAATATAAGTAGTATTTCGAATAGTTTGATGACTAAAATATTTAGTTTAGTTTCTTAAAAATAATGTTTGTTCTATAAAAATTCATATTTAGCTCTGTAAATAAAATATTTAAAAAAAAACGTAGTAAAAATAATACTAACAGATCATATGTTGAAAAATTAGGAAAATTCTCTGTATGTCTCAAGATATATTTTTAATAGAATTTAGCTTTGTTAAATAAGTACTAATAGTATTATTATTATCGGTAATACTAAAAATAATGGTGATGTGGAAAAAGATAAACCATCTTAAAGTATAGCAGAAATAAAGAAATGACAGGTCTTTTATATGAAAAAAAACTACAAACAAATTAGAAAGTCAAAACTTTTGTAAAAACGATTACGATTGAAAGAAAATGATATTGCATCGAACAAGTATTTAAAAAACATTTTACTTGTCTTGTCGGAATGAAAAATTGATTACTATTTTGGGAAGGCAGGTCTAGCGGGTTCGGAGATACAGTGGAAAAAGTTCTAAGCACTAGTATTTAAAACTATGTAAGCAAACTTGCAAGTTTAATTTCATTTAAGAAATCGTTACTTAGGGTTCCGAACCAGGATGCACAAAATGAAAAAATTTCCCAATTTTCGAAGAAAATTTTTTTTTTTTCAAGATTCTCGAATTTAAATTTTTTTTTTCAAATTTTTGAGGATTTTCAAAATTAGATTTGTTCCAAAATTTCAAAAAGGCATTGTGTTTTAAAAATTTCAAAAAAAAATGAAATTTTCAAAACTTTCAAAATTAAAAAGAAAAACATTTTTTTCCAATCTCTCAAAAGAGTTCAAATATACAATATATATAAAATGTATATACCTATGCCTGATGTTAAAAATAATAGTTCTTAGAAATATGAGAACCCTTTGATGGAAATATATTCATATGTTTACAAGTAATCATATATAAGGATACCATACCTTTCGTTGCTTAATTTTTAAGGTCATATATTTCGTCTATAAAATATAAGTTTTAATAGTTAGAGCATTTATCATCATTCATTTGAGAATGTACAAAACAATTGTTATTAATCATTGACAATTTTATAGTACGAACAATTTCAACAA